TTCCGGGTTCACTGCCAAGCACCTGGAGGCCCCCCTGCACTCCTGTGGGATGCTCCATCTGCCCCAGCATCGCAGCATTTACGAACCGCCTGCTACCTTGAGGTATGTAGAAGAAACATTTAAAGCTGTGTCTGTGGGCAAATCGCTGATTCTCTGAATCTGCGTCGAATCTTCAGATTGAGCTGAATCAAATCGGGGACAGTGATCCGAATCAATGAATCGAATCGCTGTCATCAATTTCAGGCTGAATCTGAATCGAATACAGCTCATTTTGCACACCCCTACTCCTTACCCATGCTCAGCAATTTCAAAACCTGGGCGGGAGGAAGCAGTCAGCTAGTCTCATTAGGTGAGCAGACCTTTTAGAGTAATACATATAACCTTAAGAAGTTTGTGTGGGTCAGCCAGGGAATCTTGCTGTTGGTATTTGAAGCCAGTTTTTAAGGTTGTCAGTTGCCAGGGATGCCGGGCGAGTTGAGTTGTAAAAGTTTTGGAGTGGCCACCTAACAGGGCTGTGTGGGAATCTGAGAAGCCTCGACTAAAATGACAGCCAGATCATCCAGCATTTCAGAGGTATTTTTATAAATGTTGCTTTGTCCCACCAGAACCCTTCCAGCTACTGCTGCTTCGATCCCTCCGTGTCATTTCCCTCCACAAATTCTTGATTTCTTCACCTTCCCAGACAACTTCCTCCTTGTGCCTGTTCCTTCTCTGGCTCCTTGCCCTTGCCTCAGATGGTGTTGGAGCTTGTCTTGGTTAGAATTCGGGGGGGGTTTGTTAGAACTTCCTACCCAGTCTAATGCCCATCTTCATATCCTAATGCTTGCTCATTACCATGCTTGGACCTCTGAGTGGTTAGTTGAAATCCCCAAGTTTCTGTCTCTCTCTACCAAACACCTCTTGGAAGATCCTGATCTATATTTGCCTTTCAGCTGAAGCAGACTTTGTGATCTCTTCTCAGGGGCGCCCAGAGCTAACACCTACTGCAATAGCTGCAGGAAAACTGCTGGCTCGGCGTCTCTTCGGCCAATCCTCAGAACTGATGGATTATGACAGTGTGAGTTACTATTTCCTTTGATTTTTGTTTTTATTGCTTAAAAACAAAGCCTGCCACACCTCTAAATCAGTAGGATTCACTTTTTTAATATGGGGACCAAGCTTTCCAGGATGAATTGGTGAAAACTATATTGTGCATTTGTGCAGTATAACTAGAGTCCTTTTTGCTGTTGCCAAAATTTTCCTTAGAGCTACTTGGATGGCAGAAGCCTTTGTCATCTAATTCAATGGAAGCATTTAATGGGTTTTTTTGGGCCATGCAGGTACCCACTACGGTTTTCACTCCTTTGGAATATGGCTGTGTAGGACTGTCAGAAGAAGAGGCAGTGGGATGTTATGGAGCAGATAACACTGAGGTACAAAAAAGATTTTTAATTGGATGGAAGGAGCCTAAGCATTACTGTGGAGATAGCAACTTTCACCTCTGTAAGATGTGATAACTGGTAAAACTGATTAGTAGGACCAATTGTTGAGTAGTTGAAAAGATGGAATGGCAGTCAAAATGATGATAGCCATGAAGTTGAGTACTTGAAAAGATGGAATGTGTTTATTTCAGAGAGGGCCAAGACTTTTAAAAGCAGGGGTGCCACGGGTAGCTTGAGACATTTTTCACTCAGTCCCTGGGTTTTTTTAAACACTAGTTGCTATTTTTAATGGTACAACCATCATTAAGTAACTGTGATATCTTGTTGGGTCTTCCAAATTAACTGACCCAGACCTTTATTTACCTTTCTGATGCCTCTGAAAAATACTCAGATAAACAGAGTGATGCTATAGTTGATTGATTTGGCTGGTCCCTGGTCTGCTGTATTTATGCCTTCCAGATTGAAGAGTATAGCTGCCTGAAGAATATAGAAGAGTATAGCTGCCACATGCAGGCAGACTTTGGATAGTTGTGCTTTGATGCACCATTGCTTGAGGGTGGGGATGGAATTGGGGGTGAGGGGAGAATCCAAGTTAATTGCCTTTGTTTGACTATAGCTCTCTTATAACAAATCAAGTCTTCAGTGAGCCATTTTTGTAAATAAATGCTAGAGTATTGTTATTTAGCTTTCATAGAAAGCTGTCTAGATCTTGCTTCATACAATACGCAATAATGCAAAATACAGTAATTAACAGCTTTCTCATTTACATCTATTCGGTTCCTTTTCCCCATGTCTTGTGTTGCTGTTTTATGTTGTTTTTTGTCTCTCTAATCTGAAATTCAGTGTATGCTTTAAAATTGACATCAGACTTTCTAGTGTTTGATGGTAATGCATTGATTTCTAGGTTCTAGCACCAACTGGAACAATATAGATTGTCTCAAAACTATTGTTCTTGTCTAACTCATGAAAGCAGTGTATTTGTATAGTGCATTTGATTGACTGAGCCCTGTCTATAGGTGAGCTTGAGGTACTGACACTTACTGGCATGTAAGAAAGAGTTGGATTGATAGGCTTAAATTGAAACCTGAGGCAAAATCAACAGTGAAAAGGTAACATTGTTTCCTAGGCAGTCTGCAGAAATTAGCCTTAGGTTTAGCCCTGCAGTTCATGATTATAGATATGGAGAACTTGTCGTTCTTTGTATTTTCTACAAACTGTTATTTACCTTTATGGCCAAAAGACCTCTGAAGGACATCTGGTTGGGGGGGGGGGGGG